GAGGACAATGGCCCGATGGCTCTGTCTCAGAAGGTTTTGCATGAAGTTTTGCTGTCTCTCTGGGTAGACCCATGGACATAGGAGTTCCCTTCGATGTCTGTCTTAGGTCTTTAAGTGCGGTGATCAACGTATCTAGCCGGCATAATATAGAATCCTGGTCCTCAATGGGCAGTGTTGTGAAAGAAGAGAGAAGGCTGACCATTCAGAAACAGCTGCTTCCTCCATAAGAAGCTCCTTGGTTGCAGCCTCCCGACCTGCAATTGGTTTTGCAATTGGTCCCAGCACCCCAGGGCAGCCATTTTATGACTGCACCCCATTTTGTGGTGACACTCACTCCTTGTCCTCACAAGCTCAACATGATGGGGGACACCCTGGTCAAGACGAAAATAGCAACGGATAAGGAGAGGAGAGGACAAAGCCAGCTATCAGGAAGGAAGTCGGGTGCCGGCCACTCTACTGAGAAAGTCTTCATAGTCTCATAAAAATGGCATGACTGGTCAGTTTGGTGTAGTGTTTAGGAGCATGAACTCTGATCTGGGAGAACCGAACTTGACGCCCCACCTCCTCCATATGCAGCTGACGGTGTGCCCTTAGGTCAGTCATACGTTCTGTTCTCTCACGGGCAATTCTCGAGAGAGCTCTCTCAGCCCCACCGACCTCACAGGGTGTCTGTTGTGGGGAGGGGAAGGGAAAGGAGGCTGTAAGCCGCTCTGAGACTCCTTTGGGTAGTGAAGGGCTGGGTATAAATCCAATCTCATCTTCTTCTTTTACCTCACAGGGTGTCTGTTGTGGGGAGAGGAAGGGAAAGGAGGTTGTAAGCCGCTCTGAAACTCTTTTGGGTAGTGAAGGGCGGAGTATAAATCCAATCTCCTCTTCTTCTTTTATCTCACAGGGTTTCTGTTGTGGGGAGGGGAAGGGAAAGGAGGTTGTAAGCCGCTCTGAGACTCCTTTGGGTAGTGAAGGGCGGGGCATAAATCCAATTTCTTCCGTTTCTTGTTTAGAGCCTGATTGGTCAAGGCTTGGAAGGTCCAGGAGAAGCATTTCCAGTCCTTGCAAAACTTGGCCTTGTAAAACTCACCGTCTCCACTTTAAAAAGGAAACCTTACTCCTGCTCATTAACTGTGTATTTATTTTATGCTCCACGAGCTCCACTGAGAACAGCATGAGTCATCATCCGAAGGAAGGCATTTGTTATGGAGTAGCAGATTCCACGACCTGGTTGTTTCACGAGTTCCAAAAACTTGCTTTGAAATTAATGAAGTGCAACACGGAGGATAAAGATGTCAAAAGGCCTGCGTGAGCCAGAATAAAGGATGGTGATAAAACCGCATCCTCAAGGCCTGGCTTGTTGAAGGCTGCTCATTCAACTATTTCCACTTGGCAGGTGCATTTCCGTTCCTATCAGGAGATAATGCTAGTATCTCACTTCTCAAATTAAAGCCCCACATTTCTCTGTTATCTATACTGGCCCTATTTGAAGCCTAGAACATGCTGACGTATTGTGAATGTGGGTAGATAACAACTCCGAAGTTTGTGGAAAAGAAATTATGGGATGTCATTATTTGCCCAGATTCCAAAGCCAGGGTCTGTGGCTCAGTGGTAGAGCATCTGCAGAAAGTCCCAGGTTTAATCCCCAGCATTTCCAATTAAAACGATCAGGGATTAGGTCAGTCATCTCCAACAAGGTGATAATGGGTGCCATGGTGCCCACGTATGTGTCACCTGGTGCCCCAGAGCCAGGGGTCATTTTGTAGAAAAAGAGGTGCAGAAGCTCATTAGCATAACTCATTAGCATAGGTTATTTGCATATGCCACACACCCTGACGTCACCGGAAGTGTGTCAGAAGGCAACACCCACCACTCAGGCTCCACTGGACTATTTTGGATTGCTAGGTATTGGGGGGGGGACGACAGGCAGATCTGTCCTCGCAGAGGAGGGAGAGCTTGTACCTGAATAAAACTTGGTCTTAAAGGTGCCACTGGACTGTTTTGGACTGGGGGGGCGGCTCTGTAACTTACCTGGCTGCTTCTTCCTCTGACTGAGGGCTGCTGGGAGCAGGGGGTGGGGCTTGTTGCATGTGCCCCCCCGGGCTCTTTACTGCCGGAGCTCCACTCCCATGCGCTCCCGCAGGAAATGACCCCTGCCCAGAGCTAAGAACCTACCCCAGCATCCCTTCACTTCTTTGGAGCAGGAAATACTTCAGAGGTACCTATGAGCTCTCCCATCACCTTCGTATCCACCAGGAGCATCTATTTGCATCCATCAGAGAAATATGCTTGGGTTCGTACCACTCAGTATTTGTGGCTGGTCCCATCCTCCATGGCAGGCATTTGGTTGTGACAGAGACTAACTGTTCTCAAGATTGAATGAAAACTCCAAAACTGTAGGGCTTCTGCAAAATCTAGATACTCCATAATGATGGCCCAATATCTTAAAACTTTAATTTTTCCTCCCCACAGGAGGGCTTTTGCCCTGGCTAGATATGATGTAATCCTGTCAATGGTATTAGGAGATACAAGAAGACCATATTCTGAAAGGATTTGTCCCTGCTCCCTAGGCGAGGAAGAAACACTGGGACAAGTTTTCATCTGCTGCCCTTTTTATAAAGAAATTTGAGATGAGACCATTCTTCCTTTTTTGGATGGACTAGTTGTGGTGACAGATAGGGCATATTTGGAGAAACTACTGATAGATGAAATTCCAGATATCACTATGGTAACAGCTAAGTTTTGTGCCCAGGCAATGAAAGTGTGAAGCAAACTATACTTGGGGTTTTTTAGGACTTCTCTCTTGTTTTGAGTTTATCGTTTTTTAAATATTTAATATACAATTTTTAAAAATTCTTAAAATGTGATGATTGGCATATTTTATCCTTGTAATGGGATGCCTTGTATATATTAATGGTGTCATATTTTTTAGCTATTCTATCTAAATATGTTTTTATTCTGCTGTATTTTTGAATATGATAGTTGACCATAAATAAATAAACTGAACTAACTGTTCTCAAAAGTCAAAAAAATAATACATGCAGGTGCTACAAAGTTGGGGACTCCCGCATTAGGTGATAGAAAAAAAAACAACCAATCATAGTAGGCAATACTAACCTTGATGGACCAATAGTCTGGCTTAGTATAAAGAGAGGCTGGAATCACACCACTACTAAACCACACGCTAAACTCTTTGGGAATTTCGAGAGACCCCTGCCATTGTAAATAAGCAGCAGGAGAAAATGCATGGGGATAACTGTGCTCCTCTTTTCCATGGTTGTTTAAAGCAGGGGTCCCTGACTTTTTGGAGCCTGTGGGCACCTTTGGATTTCTGACACAGGGCAATGAGCGCAGTCACAAAATGGCTGCTGTTAGGGTAACAAGACTTCTTCAACTTCTCAGGTAGAAGCTCTGTTTAACAGGATGCCTTTAAATCTGTGCAGCCAACCAGAAGTCCTGCTGGGGAAGAGCCCCGCCCACTTTCTAAAGTACTTGACAGGCACCAGGAAAAGTGTCTGCCGGTGCCGTGACTCCCACGGGCATCACACTGGGGACCCCTGGTTGAGAGGATTCAGAGCAGAGCCTACACAACTTCCATCCTGGGAACATGAAGAGATGCACATGGAATTTGGAACAGTGTTCCCTCTAAGCCAGTTTGGTGCAGTGGTTAAGTGCACGGACTCTAATCTGGGAGGAACCGGGTTTGATTCCCCACTCCTCCACTTGCACCTGACCGGATGACCTTGGGCAAGCCGTAGTTCTGATAAGAGCTGTTCTTGAAAAAGAGCCGTTTCTGTCAAGAGCTCTCTCAGCCCCACCTACCTCACAGGGTGTCTGTTGTGGGGAGGGGAAGGGAAAGGAGATTGTAAGCCGCTCTGAGACACCTTCGGGTAGTGAAGAACAACCTCTTCTCTTCTTCTTCTTCTAAGCTGAGTTAGTGTGAGCCAGCTCACAGTTTTTTAGCCTCCACATCACACATTTTTGTCTTAGCTCAGGAAGGGATGTCTCCAGAGCAAACTAATTTATGCAGCAGCCAAATTGCTCGCTCACAACTTTAATGCCAGTAGCTCACAAAGTAGAATTTTTTGCTCACAGGACTCCACAGCTTAGAGGGAGCATTGATTTGGAATACACCTGCAGGAAGGGATGCAAAACATTTCTAACATTTCACAGATCTGGGAAGAAGAAACACTACCCACTAATGCTTCCTTTTTTTCCTCCCCGGCCCCCTTGTCCAGAACACTTTCAGCTTAACACACAATCCAGCATTGGGCACTTAAACTATCCCTAGTTTGTTGGTTTGCTTGTTTATTCTGAACAGATCTTGCCTTTTGGCTTTCAGGACTAACAGCCACCGATTCAGTAAAGGCACCCAGCACCTTATACAAGCATTCAGTTTAGAGAATACATTCATTTTGTTTCATTTTTGAAGGGGAAAAAATGCAAAGCTGCATTATTGTTAGCAAGGCTTTTAAAAACCATTTACACTCAGTACTCACAGAGGGTTTTGCTTGTTAGCATAATGTTCAAGCTAATACGGTTTTATAGAAGCACATAGTTTATGCAACAGTTGGGGAAATGTATGCCCTTAGTTGTTTGTTCCTTCCTCATAAAACCAGAAAGCTTGATTCTAACTCTGGAGATTGAAATATATATCGTTCAAACATATCCCCGGCCTCCTTAAATGCTCTAGAAAAGAGGTAGCAAAGATTCCATGCCTCATTTTGACTGTCCTTATACAAGCAGCGATCCTCTGACGTGCAAGCTGACGTCCAAGGGAAATGGAGTTGCATTTGAGGAGCCCCATGTAAGCCCAGAGGCGGCAACAGGAGCACTGGCGAACTCCAGATCCCTTTATATAAATCCTGCAGAAACACAAAGGGAATTTTCACACTCACAGGAATTGAGATGCTGGCTTCTTCTGCGCAGTTCACACACAGTGATATATCACAGGCACCAGATGGAAACCTTAGATAACAGTCAGATTTTTGCATGTACAACAGACAGCGGGTAAACACTTCTAGCTTTATTTAATGACGGGAGGTACGAGAACAATCGTGTTTATGACTGAAAGGTCTCGGTACTCAAACAAGAACATTCGGCTTCATGGGTGGCAAATCTGATGCTTACTGAGAGATAAGCAGAAATTATTTGTCTGGCAACGCTAATATAGATGCCGCCTGCCAAGTAACGTTAAGACTTCTGAGCGGAGTTCCTCTGGAATGGTCAAGAAAAATATCCCAATACACAAAGCTCTGAAAGGCACCTGTACTAACTTAGCTGCAGTATCTTCTCATCATTAGAGCTGTCTATTTAAAGCATATCACAAGCACAAAAGACTTTGGAATTCACAGGAAAATAATGCTGCTTAAGTTAACAATATTAATGGTAGTGGTTTTTATTTGTTTGTTTCTAAAGCAAGGCATAGAACAGTTCTTTTCGCCACTTTTAATGAACCATTTCATAGCCCTCCCAGGATCCTATACTATCTTTTGGGCCCTGCAAAAAGAATCCTGTCATCTTCCTCTGCAGGCTTTGAGCGGCAAGATGTCAGCCCTTAAGGAGCTTTTTTTGAGATCTCCTTACACGGAGAAGAGTCCACTCACAGTTGTGAGCTGATTCGCTGTCAATTTGTTGCTCGGAGTATAATTAGACTTTGCCCACGTTTATATGCCTCCGAAATGGGAAAAGAAGAAAATGGCATCCTTCAGCAATACTCAGGTAATGTCTCTTTGGTGAGGAAATCACTAAAGTTCACACCTGAAAGCCTCAATGGTTCACTTTAAGTTCCAGGGGAGGCTTAGAGGAAACACGGTGGATGTTCAGCGTGTGTGCCCATCTGCTCTGTAACACACACACACACAGAGAGCCAAGTTAAAAGATTTAGTTCAGCTGTTGGGTTTCCATCTTGAGTTTCTACAAAACAAACCTCAACGGTCGATAGCGGATTGAGGTTATGCCTTCAGTTTTCTCGCTGTGGCTTCCATGACAAGAACCACGGTTATCATCAGCCACCGCGCCCATCGTCAACATAATATTTATATCATTGGAGAAGTAATGGCTATAGGTAGTAGGGTTGCGTGGCTACAGGAAAATTCACACACGCCCTTATTGCTTCACACACCTTAGAACTCTGGGGTGCATAAAACGTACAGGGTTTTCCTCTCTCCCCACCCCCTTCTGAAGCAAGAAAGAAAATGAAAGGAATGGTAGGAAGAGATTACACCAAAATGTCGCTCCTCTTGCTACACCAGACCACCAGCCCGATCATGGCCATGGTTAGGAGAACAGGTATTAGAATCAGGGTGATGAGAATTTTATCCGGTGGGTCCTCCCAATTGATTTTTTCCGCACTACAGTTTGAAAAGAACTGTCTGTGGATCCCGGTGATGAAGCCTTCGGCCAGGGGGTTGGGCCAAAAGCATTTCGCCGTGGCAGCCCCGTGTTCCGTGCACAGGGTGAAGTTCTTGTAATACCTGCAAAGGGAAAAAGAGAACCAAGGTCAAGAAGAAGAAGAAGATGTTTGGAAAAACTGCTGGCGACTCTTCTCCTCCTCTCGCCCCAATGTCCCGGGATTTCTGTTTCAGCCAGATGTAACAGCACACGGGGTTGCTGCCGCCTCTGGGTTTGGAAATTCCTGGATATTTTGGGGTGGAGCCTGGGGAGGAGAGCGGAAGGAAGTATGGTATAATGCCACAGAGGCTACCCTCCAAAGCAGCCTTTTTCTCTAGTGGAGATGAGCTGGAATTCCAGGAGGGAGTCCACGCTACCCCTGAAGTTTGGTAAATCTAACAGCACAGATAATCAGTTTCTCAAAAACAGTAGAATAGCTGAGGGCCCTTTTGGACACTGTTTTATCCCATGTGCACCCAGAGCATGGTCCCAAAATAAAACAGAACCGTTATACACCAATACATGTCTCACGTCATGTGAGTGCATACCACAACTGCATCCCACAACTGCATCCCACAACCTTCCCCTCCCACCTCTTGCCCACCTGTGATAGATCGTCGGGCGTCATCTGATATAGCCATTGATTATGTAAGTTTTAATCTGTAATACTGGATTTTTAAAACTGTAGTACTGATTTTACTGTATATTTAATGGCTGGAAGCCATTCTGAGCCCTGCTTGCCGGAGAAAGGAGCAGGGATATAAGTCAAATCAATAAAATGAGAGGAAGGAAGGAAGGAAGGAAGGAAGGAAGGAAGGAAGGAAGGAAGGAAGGAAGGAAGGAAGGGCAGGAGTCAATAAATGAGAAATAAGTTCCCTGAGATAAGCTCCATCAGCAATTCAAGCAATTTTCAGAGCTGCACACCTTGATTCAGAGCAACAAGGCTTCCAAAGCATACTAACAGTTGGTCCATAATGTGCCCTGGCGTATGTGCTGCAAGTAGAGCAAAGCAAGAGCAAAACCTCTGGATCACCCTATCATCACCACCAACAAATGGGTGCTTATCTGCGCTTGCGGCACAACTGTAAACCGCTCTGAGACCTCCGGGTCTGAGCGGTATAGAGGCCAAATGTTAAATAAATAAAATTAAATAAATATTCATATGTCGGCTTGCCCCCTAACAGGGGAGGGGCCATGGTTCAATGACAGTATATGCACGGCATGCAGAAGGTCCCAGATTCAATCCCTGGCTGCAGCACCTCCAGTTAAAAAAGGATCGCAGAAGGGACACTGTGAAAGATCTCTGCCAGGAGAGCAACTGCCACTCGAGTGGACAGTACTGACTTTGATGGACCAGTGGTCTGACTCAGCGTACGGTAGCCTCATGTGCTCAAATGGTGTTGGTGGGCAGAGCCATCAAGCTGCAGCCGACGCATGAGTTTTCAAGGCAAGAGTTGTTGAGAGGTCGTTTGCCGCTGCCTGCCTCTGCCTAGTGACCCGGGACTTCCTCGGTGGTCTCCCACCCAAGGCCTAACCAGGGCCGACCCTGCTTAGCTTCCAGGATCTGACGAGCCTGGCTAGACTGGGCCATCCAGGTCAAGGATGTATTCAATTAGTCAAGGTAAAGGTTCCCCTCGCTCGAAAGCCACAGAGCTGCACACCTTGATTCAGAGCAACGAGGCTTCCAAAGCATACTAACAGTTGGTTCATAATGTGCCCTGGCGTATGTGCTGTAAATAGAGCAAAGCAAGACCAAAACCTCTGGATCACCCTATCATCACCACCAACAAATGGGTGCTTATCTGCGCTTGCAGCACAACTGTAAACCGCTCTGAGACCCCCGGGTCTGAGCGGTATAGAGGCCGAATGTTAAATAAATAAAATTAAATAAATATTCATATGCCGGCTTGCCCCCTAACAGGGGAGGGGCCATGGTTCAATGACAGTACATGCACGGCATGCAGAAGGTCCCAGATTCAATCCCTGGCTGCAGCACCTCCAGTTAAAAAAGGATCGCATAAGGGACACTGTGAAAGATCTCTGCCAGGAGAGCAACTGCCACTCGAGTGGACAATACTGACTTTGATGGACCAGTGGTCTGACTCAGCGTACGGTAGCCTCATGTGCTCAAATGGTGTTGGTGGGCAGAGCCATCAAGCTGCAGCCGACGCATGAGTTTTCAAGGCAAGAGTTGTTGAGAGGTAGTTTGCCACTGCCTGCCTCTGCCTAGTGACCCGGGACTTCCTCGGTGGTCTCCCACCCAAGGCCTAACCAGGGCCGACCCTGCTTAGCTTCCAGGATCTGACGAGCCTGGCTAGACTGGGCCATCCAGGTCAAGGATGTATTCAATTAGTCAAGGTAAAGGTTCCCCTCGCTCGAAAGCCAGTCGAGTCTGACTCTAGGGTTGCGGTGCTCGTCTCCGTTTCCGAGCCGAAGAGCCAGCGCTGTCCGAAGACATTTCCGTGGTCATGTGGCCGGCGTGACTAGACAGCTAAGAAGAGCAGAGAGATCTGTCCAGAGATGTAGAATTAGCCACTCACAACTGGCAACTGCTGTGGGTGGGGAAAGGCATTTAAGCTGGTACCACAGCCCCAGCTGAGCAGCAACGGCGGGAGATGGCAGGGCAGCATCAGGGCCACATTGGGGGAGGAGCCTGACCTCCCCAAGGGCTCAGGGGGCTCTGTGTGAACCCCCTGCAGAGGCCCGCTGGGGAGTCAGTCACCTTGCAAGCTACAATGCCCGCTTGGGGCTGTGTTTGGCCTTGTGGTCACAAGGCTTGGTCTGAAGGGGTGACATCTGGTAGATGAGGGACCAGAACAAGTTCTGATGAGAGCTTTCAGAGCTGGCAAAAGCGACACTGAAAAAATCACACACAACCCTTTCCCCTCCCAAAGGAACTGAGTTTCTGCCATGTTGCCATTCCATTCGGAACTTGCCAGCAATGCTTCCTCTAAGCTGCAGATGTCCTGTGAGCAAAAATCCTACTTCGTGAGCTACCGGCACTAACGTTGTGAGCGAGCGGTTTGGCGACTGCATCAATTAGTCTGCTCTGGAGCTACCCCTTCCTGAGCTAGGGCTGCCAAGTAGGGGCAGGGGGCGGGTAAACACCTGCTTTGGAGGCCCGATTTCTGCCGCCGCGGAATTGGGCCCCAGGGGGAACTCCGCCCCCCGAAGCGCAGCGTGGCTGTGTTACCAGAGGTGCCGCAACCACGTCAACCACGTCGAACCCTCAACGTGATCATTACTTCTGGTGATGTGCTGGCAGCGTGCATGCGCGCACGGCAAGGGATGGCTCCCGGAGCGCGGCGAGGCTCCCCCGCCGGTGAGTAAAATTCACTTGGCAACCCTATCCTGAGCGGAGACAAAAACGTGTCAGCCGGAGGCTGGAAAACTGTGAGCAAGCTCACACTAACTCAGCGTAAGAGGGAACACCGCTTGCCAGTAATTATTTTTTTAAAATCTGCCTTGTTTTCAACATCAGTCAGTCTGAGTTCTGGAAAAAAAAGAAGACGTTATTGTGTCCCATTGCGCTTTAACATTTCATGAGGAAAGATCTCTAAGCCAGGTGGACGATGCGGTGCTTCCGAGGTGCCTTTGCTAATGCAAGGAACGGGTCCGCCCAAAGTTTCTTATTAGCAGTCTGTGATAGCTTGCCTGGACAACAAGAGCCGGTGCTGGGAGTCAAGATTTCTACCTCCAGCAGAGAGTTCTCCCAGCAAAACACTTGATTGTTGCTTCAGGACACGTACAAAGGGAACATGGTTTTCTTGGCAAAGCTGTCTGGAGCGCCCATAAAAAAAATTACATATGGGGGGGAAGCATTCCCTGGGGATCAGGCCATGAATTATTCATACCCATCGCATTATCAGCCGAGACAAACGGGAAGCCACAGCGTGATGTAAGAAGTTGCTCCAAAAAATAACACTAACCCCTGCGATGCCCTGCTGTGGTCTATACAGAGAAAATAAATATTAAATACCAATGGATGTTGGCACCCGGAGAGTGAACACGGAGGAGGAAGCTATTGCCCAATAGCAAAATGTGCTGAAAGACTCACAGAACAACCCACAGAAATAAAAAAAAGCTGAATACTTTTCAAGCCAAGCTGTGAGGAGAATTCTGTGTTGGAAGACGCCACAGGGTTCTGAGGCAGCAACACCTCTGGCTGTGACAGGCTGAGTCGTCACAATGTCACGGAATCTTCACAAAAATCCTAACTGCTGGGGGGGAATGAAATTTAAGAATAGAATGCTCGCAAACTTGTTTACTTCAGAGGTCTTAAAGCTGCCTTTCTCTAACAGAAGGCAGGCTCAGGATCGAGTCTGTGTGAGAGAAAGGGAAAGCTGCAGTTGGCCAGCGGTGTCACACAGGCCATAGGGACGGAAGGAACTGCTTGATCACAGAGTATTGGTGAATAAAAAGTTTATGTGGAAGAGGTCTCAGGAGGTATGAAAGCTGGTAAAGAGGGAGGGAGACCAAAAGCGAGATGGGTGGGAGAGGGGAATATCTGAAAAGACAACGGTTTGACTGAAATCAACAGCCTGGGGGAAAGCGTAGGCAAAGGAGAAGACAGGCAGGGAAGACAGAAGGGAAGGGCCAATTAGAAGGAGCATAGGAAAAAAATAAAATTGACAACAGGATCTAAAGACAGGAGAAGCTGTGTACTGTAAGAAAGGTAAGACAGGGATAGGAACCGGATCATTGTGCAGACTTGCCAAGGTGGTGGGAAAAAGAAGGACGGAACAGAATGAGACCTGGAACACTGAGATCAGAACTCAGGATGATAACACAGAGTTGACAAGAAGAGGCAAAAAGAGCTGACAAATCGCCCGGTCACTTTAAGTTACCCTCTGATCAGCAATGGGTTTCTCAGCCGATCATTAAACAATAACTTGGCTGCCCCAGTTCCTGAACAGTCAAATTCTGATAGCACTTTGAGGATAAAGCAAATTCTGTCCTAACGTGGCTAGTTTTGTAAACAATGATCTCATTTATTCAGCGCAAATTCTGTCATAATGTGGCTACTTTTGTAAACAATGATCTCATTTATTCAGCACTACATAGGACGAAGCATTTCGAGTGGGTGACTGGTGCTTCAGAATTAAATTTGATACATCAGTTTGCAACACAAGTGGATATATACAATGTAGGGATGGGCACAAACCTAGAGAAGGCAGTTCGGGGTTCAGTTTGGGGTTCAAGGCCACCCCGAACCAAATGGGCCCCACATGAACCGAACCGGTCTGGCAAGTTCGGTTCCCCCTTTCTCCTGGCTGTGGCAAACTACAGCTGGGAGAAAGGAGGTAGGGATTGCCCTGGAAGGGACTTCTCTTCCACCTTTTTCCCAGCCACTGCTCACTGCGGCCAGGAGAAAAGGGGGGTATCGGCCAGGAAAGGACTTCCTCCCCCTCCCTCCTGGCCATGGTTTGCCACAGCAAGGAGAAAAGAAGCAGGGATTGCCTGGGAAGGGGCTTCACTTAACCCTTTAATTTTGCTCCCTGCCACTATGGGGGGGAGCAAAACTGAAGGGTTAAATGGCTGTCCTGAGCTGCAAACTGGTCCAAGTTCATCCCAAATGTACTCAAACTAGATGCAGATTATTTAAAGCAGTTCTATAGAAGATAGATA